AACGCCCGAGTGCCACCAGCCATCCGCCATTATTACTCGCCTACTAGAGAATATAATTATTTCAAATCGATGAAATAATTATCGTCGGATCGAGGGTAGAACGCGCGGCCGAGCAGAGATAACGCAATTAAACCACCCTCTCCTTCCCCCTCGGTTGTATTGTTTGATATTTCGCGCGCGCTGATACTCATTTACTCTCCGTTTCCGATTAGCAGCTTTTATCAGCGCATCGTCCCTATTTTTTTTCTTCTTTTTTTCTTCTTTTGAAGCGAAACAAATGTTTTCGCGTTCGAGTGCTGTAATTGGACGTAAGCTTCGTTTCTAAGCGTGACTTCATTACAACATCACGGTGAAGGATGATTGTGTGTAAAATGTTGGAAGCTATTTTTTTTTTTTTTTTTTTGCTCGAATTAAATAAAAGAGAGAAGTTTATCTTTCAGTGCGCAGTGTAATTTTTTCAGGATTTTGGTTAGATCTTTTTAAATGGAACGTGAGATTAACTTTTCGTTATTCGGACAGCTTCTATCAAATTGAGTTTTGTGTAGATACAGTTACAGAATTATGGAGGAAAATTTTGCCCTTCGAGGATGCGGAAAGACGGCGAATTGTCAGAACAGTTTTGTTTTACTAAATATTCGAAGCAATGTTCTAAGACTTTTAAATGCTCGTCAAATTCCTTAGGGAAGCAAGTCTATTGAGAAATACTCTTTCGCACGTTTGTTAAAATTATCTAATAAATTGGTCTGTTTTGAAATATCTGTATAGATATACGGTTTTATTTGACGCAATTAGTCGACGAAACAATCTTATTTCTATAACACGAGAAACAACTGAATTGTCGAATGTTTTCTATCATATAAAAATATTCACAACTTCAAAGAATTGCTTCATTGTGCAAAATGTTTCTACACTGTGACAATAACTACTTAACTAAGCTATATTTTTGATTATCAAGCGTGAGAGACGTCAACAGTAAGTATTTAATAAAAACGAAGAATCCCGATATGATTCTTTATGTTATATATCAATATGTAAAATCATTTTAATTACGCCCTTGATTGTAGTTACTTAAGAAAGTTGCTATATTTTCCTGAAGTCCCAACGCGAGTCGAACTTTCGCGCGAGAGTGTACCGTATAAACCGTTCGATGAAAAATTGCCGCACTACCGCGCCAAATCGAATCGTTCTGATGTATGCGGCCATCGATACGCCACGCGTATTCGATTACACGTTTTCAACGTCGAGGGTGTTCTTTGTCAAGTAGTTATTTACTTCGTGCATGAGTGAAATGCCGCGAAGTGAAGTGTATCGTTATCACGATCATCACGGGGGCCGAGGGCAACAGAGTGGCGTACGTAATCTTTTGTCGAACCGGTTTCTGGCCATTGATCGAGGAAACAGTTAAAGAGTTATTGTTCTTGCTGCGTACATCCGCAGATGTTTAACACGACAGAGAAACATTTCAATTCAACTGAAAGCCCGACCGACTGGCTAGTGTTGATTTTATCCCTTATACCGAATCCCTCCTCCCCCTGCAGGGAGACTCTGCTGACAACAAACCGACGATATCGCGCACACAGCTCGGCGAGAATGTTTTCGCCGAGAGAAATCCCCGAGGTTTCCGTGCTCGGCAAACCGCCGGTTCAACATTGTTTTCCAATTCATTGTCACCATCTACGTAATATTTGTTTTCCACGTTCTTGCGTATGTATTAATTTATGACGTTACCGAGCACAGTGATATATATATATATATATAT